AATGAATTATTTAAAATGATTTTTTTTCTTTTGTTAAGATTCAAGTTTAACTTTTAAATCAAAATTTTCTTTTTCAAAACTTTCAATTTTTATTTTTGAAAGCTCTAAATCATTTTTCAAAATTTCATTTTGGCTTTCAAAATCTATTTTTGTTTTCAAAAGAAAATCGTTTTCGATTTTAAATTTTGAAGTTATTTTCTTATATTTGGAGTTCATGGTCTCAAACTCCGAATATAACCTATTAAAAGCATCTTGTAACTCATAAAACGTATATGAATTAAATTCATTTGAGTTAGAATATACATCGGGCTCTTCACGAGCCATTAGAGACACCACCTTTGTTGGTTCTTCTTTCTTGCTTCCATGGATTTCCTCGAGCTTATTCCAAAGCTCCTTGGCACTTGAACATGAAGAAACTCCTTCATAGATTTCAGGACCAAATGAACACAACACCATGTGCATGGCCTTGGCATTAAGTTGAGCTTTCTTCCGTTCTTTGTCACTCCGCTTCTTCTCCTTTTTCTTTGGAGAAGAGTAGCCATTTTCGATTATCTCTCATGCATCAAGATCATTGGATTGGATGAATACCTTCATTAATTTCTTCCAATGATGATAGTTGACTCCATTGAAGTACGTAGGCTTTTCCGTTGGTAGGGAGTCTTCCATGTGGAATGAGCCGGAGGTGGAAGCCATCTTCTCGGTTGTGTCGGGAATTGGTAGAGATTCTTTGAGGATCGTCTCAAGGTGGTTAAACCTTCTTAACGAGTTAGGCTCTGATGCTAATTGTTGGGATTTTAGGAAGCTCAATTCGATAACCAGAACGGTTTGCAAAGAGGGGTCGGAACGGTTTTTGAGTTTAGGGAGTAAGGAGATTGAAAGATAGAAAATTGCACAACGATTTAGAGTGGTTCGACTTTATAAACCAAAGTCTACTTCCACTACCTTAGCTCCTCACCAAGGATTTTCCAATAAATTCATTAATTTGTTCTTTCTTTTGAGGACAAAGAGATAACCTTACAACTCCCTAGTTTTTTCGGGATAAACTATAACCTTTCCCTAGCTTTTACACGGGATAAGCTAGAACCTTTCCCCTTTACAAAAGGATAAAATAAGTAAACAAGAAAACCTCTCTAAGGTAGGTGTTTACAAGATTGAGCTCACAAGAACAAAATATTTACAAGAGAAAGATGAAATAAGAATGAAAAACTATTCTCTTGTGTTTGATTGCTTAGATGGTTGTTCTCTTCCTTCTTCAAGTGTCCTTAGCTTGTATTTATAGCTTGGAATGTGTTTGATGTTGTATATAGTCGTTGGGGATGTTTTGGAGCCGTTTGGGGATGATTTTTCTACTCAAAAAGGCTGTCCATAACATGATGCATTGATGCACTATGAAGGTGCATTGATACTCCTTCATTAAATTCAAATAAACTAGTCGTTACAGCCTTGATGCATGGATGCATGGCAGGATGCATCGATGCACTAAGTGCATTCGATGTTTGAGTACATGGATGCATTGCATGATGCATCGATGCATTAGTGCAGGTGCATGGATGCACTGCAGGGATGCATGGATGCACTGCAGGGATGCATGGATGCACTTTGACACCCTTTAGCATTTTGGCTCAAATCCGATTTTAATGGACTTTGAATTATTTTTGAAAGCTTTTAAAACTTTGAATAAATTCAATTAAGTCCAAAAATATTTTGTAAATTTAATTCAAGTCCAAAAACATCTTGCCTTAAATTGTTATATCAAAACATAGTTCAATACTACCCTAGATATGCCCCCCCAGAATTCTCTACATCGGAAACCATACCCCTGACTAACACATCGTTTCTTCTAAAGAGTGTTAAGGCCTCGACAAACTTAGTTAGTCAGAAGGGCATCGACCCTACCTAAGGATATATTCGGACTGAATCTATACTTTCGATAATGGTAGCATTTTCTAAAGGAACTCAAGTGTCCTAGTCGTTTCCCGAGCATCATCCAAGGCTATTTTTATGTCATCCTAATAAATCTTGTTTCTAAGTGTAATTAATAACATTAATATTCTCACTTGCAATCTTATTTGATGATAAAAAGAAGTGTTGGGTACCTTGAGTCTATTTCCCTTAAAAACTGACATTTTTCCCCAAAATAAACTAAAAGTATCGACACTAACCCAAGAGTATCGATACTACTGCAAAAGTTTCGATACTTTTAAGCATTTTGTTCTGCCTAGTTTCGAAACTTTATTGGAGTTTCGAAACTATGACCCAAAGTTTCGATACTCTTGTAAGATTATCGATACTTTTGACCAAAAACTCACGAATTTGCCCAAAACAAAGAACTAGTATCGATACTTTACCTGTAGAAATCATATAACACATATTAAAATGTTATAATTCAATCCCAAAGACCTTAGTGAGGTCCCCAAACATGCTTAAAGTTTTATTTGATCAACAAGGGCATAATAGAGGCTTTAAACACATTTAAAACTCTAAAACAAGAATTTCACCATGAAAATGCTTATCATGCTCAACTCAACCATTTAAACTATTTTGAACTTCCAATGACTCACTAAGAGTATAGAAGAGTTGTAAAGGTGTTACCTTGTTTCTTGGATGGCTAGAAACTTTCTCAACTCACTCAAGATTCAACTTTTCTTTTCCTTTAGCTCTTGAGCTTTCTCCTATCTCCTTCACTAAACAAAATGATAAAATGGATTACCAATCCATCTAGGAGTTGAATAACATCTAAACAAACTCCTTATAACTCAAAACTTAGCTAGAATCCATAGATTCCCACAAAACTCTCAAGACCCATTTTTGGTTCTATGGATAAAAACTAGGGAAAATGAGCTCAAAATTAAGCTAGAAGGATGAGGTTTAATAATCTTACCTTGGATGGATCCAACTAGGCTTTAACTTCTTTGAGATGCTTACTTAAAGAAGATAGAAGAAGAGAGGAAGAGTGTTTGGTGAGTTGTGTAAGGGGGTTGTTCACGGTGAAAACATAATATAAAGAGGGATTTTCAGCTTTCAAAATAGTTATGGGTAAACTACACTTTTAGCCACTTTACTTTTATTTCATAATTTACTCATCACCCTTCATTAATTCTCATGGGCCCTAACTCAAGGCCACTAACAATAACTTGATCCACCTAATATAATATAAGGTCCAATGGCTCGAATTTGGGCTTCGGGTTGATCCGAACTAGTCACTCGAGATTCGGGGCGTTACACGACCCAAAAATTATTTACCCTCCACCTGACCCAAACTAGACCCGAAAATTATGCACCCTTTACCCGACCCAAATCTGACCCGCCATTTTGAGATAAAATTCAATCCTGATCCAGCCCAAAATAATATATATTTATAAAAAACTATTACTTTTGTTTAATAAAAATAGGGATGTAACTTAAAAAGATAATATATAGAGGGGTCTTATTGCAATTATCTCTAAATATACAAGGTAAAATTATATTTTTTGGGTCTAGTTGGGTAAGATATTTTTCAACCTAAACCCAAACCCGACACTGCCTGAACATAATCTCTAAAAAACCCAATCAGATAGGGTCAAGTCGGGTCGGAACCCATCGGATTCGAGTCCCGTATACATCCCTATATTTAAAGAGAAAGTAATATATTTATAATAATACTTTTCATTGAATGACTTGTTTGTAACATTTAAAAAAAGACATGTTTATTATCAAACTCATATAAAATATCATTGAATGTAGTATATCCTATTTTAAAATTAAAAATTATTATATATTTAAATGAACATATTTTACATAGGATGAAATTTGAACTTAGATGCAATCTTTTTTTTAAAAAAATTATTGATATTTCATTGACATATATATACTACTTAATCTTAATCTTATGCAAGAGACGCCAAATAAAAATATTGAAAAAAAATCTTGAAATATTATAAAACATAACAAAAACACTAGATTGCCAAATCCACCAGCTTTGTGGATGGGGTGGAAAAGTAGTCTTTAATGATTTTTCAATTATTTATTGTGCAAGAAAAAAGATCATTGCATCTCAACTTTATTCATTATTATATTTTTCTCCCATTTCTTTTTCTTAATTATATGATTATTATTATTATTATTATTATTTAATTATCCAATCTGCCATCCTTTACATGCGGACCTTAATTAGGCGAGACCTAACCAATCCGTAATGAAACTAATCATCATAAATGTATGATTTAGTGTGTTTTAAGATTCTCATTTGTTTAAAAAAAAGTTAATGCAGTCCACAAACTATTTCTACAATTATTGAGACCTTAAAATAAAAAATAATAATATGACTCATGGTTCAAACAAGAAGTAGAACAAAAAATAAATAGATGTGACTAAGGGATCAATGCTCTCTACTTCAACTCTGTATAACTGGTAAACAATTGGAATATTGTAGATTTGTGGTTCTGCGTGTTTAATGGCTGAATCTAAAGTACATCAAGTACCACACAGTCTACGCATTGCAAAATTTCATCTCCCAGCCCAGCTATTTAATTCAATCCTGAGTGAGTCAACAAGCAGCAAGCTGAAATGGGATTGGGTTTTGTTTTTTTTTTCCTAATGAAAACAACAAATCTTCTGAGATTTTGATCGTATTGCGTTTTGATCTTCTGTTGAATATCGAACAAAAGAAACAATGACTGCTCTGAATCTTTCACCAAATTAAAAAGAGAGAAAGAGAGAGAAGAAAAGAAGAAAAATACTGCACAAGAATGAAGTGACGCTTGTGTTTAGTCTCTTCCGTCTGATTGATTTCCAGAACGAAATAAATCTTTTTTTTAGATGTCAACAATTGAATGCTCCTCTGCTTTGTTTCCTTTTAAGTAACCCTTCCATTATGATCCTTTTGTGATCTTCTGACTTCTCTTCCGAGCTTCTTTTAATGCTTTCCATGTCTTCATTTCTCCTGCGGGTTGTTGCAGACTGGGGAGGAAGCAGAGCCAATCGATGCCAAAAGTATTGCGTAAATTTGCCCCAGAAGATCGTCATTGCCAGACTAATAACAACCAGAACACGGCATTGCTTGAACTCCAACCTCTCTGTATTCCTCCTCGTTTCTCCTTCACTTCACGTTCTTGGTCTTTGCTTGTTTCCGGCTCTGAATTTGGGACCGAGTTGGACTCTGAAATCGTCTCCCGAGTTCCATCGGCACCAGCTCTTGTATCCAACACTTCATCACATTCATGGCTGTTTACTGGAAAATCATGCTTCGATGAATATGATCCTCGACCGATTCCTTTTCTTTCTTTAACCCTCTTCGCCTGTCAATAGGATAAGATATATTCATGAGTGATGATGACAGGCAGGGGAAATGGAAGAAAAAAGAAAAGGTGGAAGAACAAACCAAGAAAATCTCGAACACAACGGCTTTAACGACATGGGAGAATGTTTTCTTCCCGGGACGATGGACCGTGATCGAATTCTCCGTATTGGGAACCGACGACTCTGTCTTCGTATACGTTAACACCCGATGATTTCGGGAACGATCGACTACAACTGGTTTGGAGTCGAGCACGGAGTCCATAACGGGTCTAAAACAGACCAAAAACCTGTTCCTCGAAAAGTTCTTCATTAATTACTTCTGCCGGTAAATGCAAAGAACGTAACCCTTAAACTTATGGGGGTGCTTCGAGTTTCGGTCTAAACGAGGGAACAAAAGAAACAAGGAAATTTTATTGTTTCTGTCTGGTTTGTTTGTGAAACAGCCGGCTTTGTGTCTTAGAGTTATTTCCAATAACCAAGTGAAAAGGTTTAGAAGAGAATGGAGAAAAGGGGGAAGGATGGGGGCACTGGGGAGTTTGATGGTATTGGTGGGTGCCCGTGAGAGACAGGTGAAAGGATATAATGAGTCGGAGGGGGATTTGGTGTTTTGTTGGTTGAAAAAAGGACTGCAATTATGGCTTGGTTGGTGGACTCGAGAAGAAGAGCTTCGAATAGCCGTCCATCAATTTAGTCCTCATCTTATTAAAAATGGAATACAATCAAACTTTAGCCGATATATCGTTTATATCATTGAATTTTTAATTTTATCAATTATAATATTGAACTTTGATTTTCGTTTCAATTATATCACAAGCCCGATAAATCGTTAATAGACGAGTCAAAACGACGTCGTTTTGGTGAGGTGTCTACGTCGACAGTCGTCAGACACGTCATCATGCCGTTAATGATTTAATAGTTCAGTGGTATAATTGAAACGAAAATCAAAGTTCAATGTCATAATTGGCAAAATTGAAAGTTCAGAGTTATAAACGATACATCACTTAAAGTTTGATGGTATATGATGTAGCTTACCCTAACAAGTTCCCAATGATGTGCCACTAAATTATTTTTTGTTTTGAAGGTATGTGCCATTAAATTAAGTTGTAAATAAAAGGACCATTTCTTTCTTCCTTTGTTTTTCTTCCCTCTTTGGTTTGATTTTTAGGCATTATCTAATTAGTATATTCAACAACTTTAAAAATTAAATTTTATATTTGTATGTATTCATTGTTCTTTAAAGTATTTTTTTATAAACTATAAAATATTTAAAAGTAATAAAAATATTGTAGAGATCATAAGTTAAAAAAGATCCAAATTTTGGAATACTTAAAAAATTTGTAGGGATGACAATTCCATCATTTAAGGGGAAACACAATTGTCGGTACACGAATATTATCTATAAGAGAATCATGTCAGACTAAATGTGGGAATGTAATTTTAAAAATACTATTATCTCCAATAGATTACCTAATGCTTCGGTAAATGACAGTCTTCTTGTTTGTGAAGTGGTTCATAACGATGGTTCTTGGAATCGGAGTCTTTTGAGCAGGCTTCTCAATCCCACAACAATTCTCCATTTTCACAACATTCCTCCTCCAGCCTTGATCCATGGCCACGATCGCTTGTTTTGGAGCCATAACTAAAATGGTCGTTTCACGGTCAAATCGGCGTTTCTTCAACTCTCCGGGGTTGACTGGAGCCCCAAGAACTCAGTCTGGAATTCTTTTTGGCACCTTCACGTTCCGGAAAGAATAAAATACTTCATTTGGCTTGTTTACCATGATAGAAATTTATCCAATGTTAACCGTTTTAAGAGGAATATTGCAGGAAGTCCCCTTTGTGACATATGTGGACTTGATAACGAAAGTTCGCTCCACATCCTGTGCGACTGCAACGTTTCTAAGCCCCTTTAGAAGTCTCTCATATCGCCATCAGATGAATCCACCTTCTTCGGTCTCAACTTAGAAGACTGGATCCTTTATAATATCAGCTCGTCACACTTTCTTCCAGGGACTTCCATCCCTTGGAAAATAGCTCTCTTCGTTAATTTGGAATCTTTGGAAGCGCCGTAATTCTTGTATCTTCAATGGAAACGACCCCTCCAACGCAGACTTCTATCATGCAAGCATCACGTGGGCAAATTATTATATTTCTAACCCTCTCACTCGTGATCAAATTCCACCACAGGACGTGATTGTACAATGGCTTCCGGCTCCTGAAGACTGGTTTACACTTAACTCTGACGGTGCCCTTGACTCGACCTCCTCGATGGGATCCTCTGGTGGTGTCATCAGGAACAGTACTGGTGCATGGTTATCTGGCTATCATAGAAACCTTTATTTTTCTTCCATCAATTTCCGAATTATGGGGCATCTATGATGATCTCTGCCTCGCCTGGAAACTGGGATACAAGAAAATTCAATGCCAAATTGATAGTGCTGAGGCTCACGGACTGATCACTTCCTCCTCAGCCCATTCTTCTCATCTCACACTCATTCGCATGATTGCTAACCTGGTGTGCCGTCCTTCGATCGTAAACTTTCATCCTTCGGGAGGCGAACGCTGTTGTAAATCACATGGCTAAACTTCGACTCGTCACCGATGGCTCCATGCAAGTGTTCCAGGATATCCCCTTTTGTTTCAAGTCTTCTTTATCGTGATATCCAGGGTCCTCCTTACTTAAGGAACCCTTCTAGTAATATGTAATTGGCTTTGCCTCCTTCTATTCAAAAAAAATTAAATAAAATAAAAATTACTATTATCTCTTATAATAATATTTTGGGTAAACTATACTAGTGACCACCCAACTATAACCCCTTCTCATTTTAACCACCATTTTTTGAATTCTTGTCAATCAGGCCACCCAACTACTTAAATGTATTCAATCAAACCACATGCCGTTAACATTTAATAGAAGTGATGATGTAGCAATTAATAAAATTGGTATAATTACATATTTGTCACTGTTACTTATATATTCTATCAATTTGATCCTAATTTTAATAAATTAAAATAAATTTAATATTCGAATTAGATCATGTCATGTGACACTAATAAATATCATAACACATACCGCCACCCAATTGGAGGATTTAATTTATTTTAATTTAATATATTTAGTTTCTACCAACCAAAGGGTGATTGGTGAGAAGAAAATTAAGAATTGTAAAAGGGGGACATGGGATTTTAACCAACAACCCTTAGGGGTAGAGGTGCACAAAAAATTCGAATATCAGATTTTGTGCAAAAAATATCTGAAATCGGATTTGGGAAAAACCGGTTTTTTTTAAACCGGATCGGATATTTTAAAACCGGATAGTATAACCGGTTTGAGAAAAAATTGGACGATCGGATTTTTTACCGGATTAAAAACCGGTTTGAAAAAAATCGGATAAAAAATTAGTTTTTTATCCGGAAAAAAATCCGGTCTGGGGTTTAAAAAACTGGATGACCGGATTTTTTACCGGATTAAAAACCAATTTTTTTTAAAAACTGATTTTTTTCAAACCGAAACCGGTTACACCAGTTACATCATCCGGCCCTCCAAACCGGTTATGATCCGAACCGGCTTTTTTATAAACCGATTTTTTAGCTTAGTGAAAAAACATGATCGATTTTTATCCGATCCGAATCGGATTTAAATCCGACTATGTGCATCTCTACTTAGGGGAGAGAGGAAAAGCCCAACCACTAAGCTAAGTACATTTTTTGGTATAAAATAGATTACATATTGTATATATCTTGTATTAGTATAATTTGAAATTCATAATATTAAATATTTTTTGTCTTAGCTTAAATTTTAAATTTTTTATTTTATAATATTTTAAAATTAAGATAAAAAATATTTTTATAGTTAAGATAAAAATAAAATATATTTCTTAAATTAAAATAAGAATAAAATGTATTTTATAAGTTAAGATAAGATTAAAATGTACCTTTTAGTTAAGATAAGAATAAAATATATTCGATAAATTAAGAAAAAATATATATATTTTTTAATGTTAAGATATGATTTTAAATCAGAAAAATAATAAACTTCACCTACTTTAAACCAAAAAATATATATGTTCGATAAATTAAGAAAATAATAATAAACGTATATATTTTTATAGTTAAGAATTTAAGATTATATTAATAAACAAGATATATACAATAATTAGTCCATTTTAAACCAAAAAATGAATTTGGCCTAGTGGTTGGGCTTCTCATCTCTCCCTCAAGGGTTGCTGGTTAGAAACCTATGCCCCCTTTACAATTTTTAATTTTCTTCCCATCAGTGGCACAAATTAAATATATTAAATTAATAAATTAAATCATACGATCGGGTGGTGACACATGCCATGATATTTGGTATTAGTACCACGTGACAAGATTTAATTCGAAGATTAAATTTGTTTTAATTTATTAAAATTAGGATCAAATTGAGAGAATATATAAGTAACATGGACCAAATGTGTAATTATACTAATTTTATTAATTGTCATATCAACACTTCTGTTAAAAAAATGTTAACGTAAGTTGGCCTGATTGAATGCATTTAAATAGTTTGATGACCTGATTGGCAAGAATTCAAAAATAGTGGTCAAAATGAAAAGGGGCTATAGTTGGGTGGTCACTGATATAGTTTACCGAAATATTTTTTATGAACTAAATGCACCATTAAGGTTAAATTCTTTTATTAGTTTATGTATGACTGTAAACGAATAAATGAATATGAACGATGATATGTTCATGTTCATTCCTTTAATCGAACGTATACGAACAACTAAATGAACAAAATTTTGTGTTCGTGTTAGTTCATTGAAGAATGTAGTTTGTTCATGTTCGTTCATGTTCATTCGTTAAAATGATAAACGAACACAAAATAACGAACATAAAATTAATTAGGTTAATATTTGAGAAGAGTTTTTTCTTTCCAAATAATTTTAGGGTTTATATTTCTTAATTGATTTAGGTATTTTTTATTTGAATTTAAAATTAATTGGATTTTAAAACATTGATGGATTTAAAGTTAAAATTTATTACGTCTTAATATTTTTAAACGGGTCTGAAGATTGGAATGAACATAAATAAACGTGTATAAACAAACAAATTATCGAACTTTTACGAACGTAAATGAACGAACTAGTCATTTGTTCGTGTTCGTTCATTTAATTAAATAAACATAAAAATATTGTTCATGTTTATTTGTTTAATAAATAAATGAGCATAAACAAACTTCTCACCGAACTGTTCACGAATGGCTCACTGAACGTTCGGTTAATTTACGGGTCTAAGTCTATGTATGTAAATAGTGATTTAAACTTTATA